GCTCCCCGCTTATGCTAATGAAGCCCGGGAAATTCAAATCCCGGGCTTCATTAGCACTTAGGGTATGTCTACACTACCCTCCTAGTTCGAACTAGGAGGGTAGTGTAGACATACCCTTGGAGATTACTGGGAAAGGCTCTTTTGCCGGTAAAAGACCCCGCAAACCCGCAGTGTGTCACCTGAGCCCCTAGGAACGGGCGAGAGCGGATGTCCCTGGAGCGTGGGAAATGACAGAGAATTTTGAGCCTGACGTCCTATCAGGAACCAGAGTGACCGGGCCAGTGGGCAGGGGCTGTGCAGTGGGCTCAGGCACCCTGGGCCATATGGGCCAATCACCTGGCCCCAGGTGGGGGGGCGGGGCCCTCACTCACGTCAGTGACGGCGTGGAAGGTCTGCCGGCCGCTCCGGTCCTGGATCACCTTGATGCTGACGGGGATCTTGATGGAATCTCCATCCGGGATCCAGACGCCCTGGCAGGAGAGGAGCCCACAACGTGAGCAGAGCTGGGATCCCGGGGCTGCCCCGCCCCCAGCAGCGAGACCACACCCTCCAGGGCAGCTGCGGCTGCTCAGGGACAGAGGGTGCCCCTGAGCTGCCTTGTGCCCAGGACATGCTGCCGCCAGAGCCCGCGCCTCAGTCTCCCCCTCACCTTGTGCACTGTCCCGAACACGCCCGACCCCAGGACCTTCAGCTTCCTCAGCTCCGTCTCCTTGAAAATCCGGGCCAGCACCTTGTTGGCTTTCTCGCTCGGGTCCAGGGGCTCGAGGCTCTGCCCCGGGGAACAGAGACGGGTCGAATCAGCACTGGGGCCCAGCCCCGCCTGGATCCCTTGCTGCAGCTTTGCTCCCCGCCCCCCAGCAAGGGCCCCTGGCTCCCAGAGAAGTAGCAAACCCTCCCCCAGCCAGGGCTAGCCCCAAGGAGTGATTTGGGCCCCTCTCCCTGCGCTTCTCATTTGTCTTCAGTCCCAGGTCAAGGGGTTCTGTGCAGGGCGGGGGGAGCCCAGGGCTGGGCTGGCAGGGGGCAATGGCAGGGCTGGGGGGGAGCTCAGGGCCAGGCTAGCAGGGGGCAGGAGTGGGGAGCACCGGCAGGGCTGGGGGAGCCCAGGGCTGGGCTGGCAGGGGGCAATGGCAGGGCTGGGGGGGAGCTCAGGGCCAGGCTAGCAGGGGGCAGGAGTGGGGAGCACCGGCAGGGCTGGGGGAGCCCAGGGCTGGGCTGGCAGGGGGCAATGGCAGGGCTGGGGGGGAGCTCAGGGCCAGGCTAGCAGGGGGCAGGAGTGGGGAGCACCGGCAGGGCTGGGGGAGCCCAGGGCTGGGCTGGCAGGGGGCAATGGCAGGGCTGGGGGGGAGCTCAGGGCCAGGCTAGCAGGGGGCAGGAGTGGGGAGCACCGGCAGGGCTGGGGGAGCCCAGGGCTGGGCTGGCAGGGGGCAATGGCAGGGCTGGGGGGGAGCTCAGGGCCAGGCTAGCAGGGGGCAGGAGTGCGGGGCACCTGCAAAGGAGCCCTTTACTCTCCTAGCACAATCTTGCCTTCTGCCCCATCACCCAAGCGTGCTGTGGGTGCGAGAGCCTTCCCCTCCGCAGCTCCTGAGTCTCTCCCCTGCGGGGCAGCCGGGAGCCGTGCTCACAAGGGAGTCGGCAGGGGGGGCTCACCTCTCCCCGCTCCAGGTATCGGCGCATCGCCCGCTTCTTTTGGATCTTCTTGCCGCGCCAGTAGAGGAGAGTGAGCAGGAAGCAGGAGCAGAAGACGAAGAGGCAGCCCACGACCATCATGGCGATGACTGTGGGGTTTTTCCTGGGGCACAGATGCGAGGAGTCAGCCGGAGCCAAGGGCTGGCGCGATCCCGCAAGCACCCCAGCCCCACCCTTGTCCCCAAGCATCTCTGCCCCTCCTGCCCATGGGACTAGCCTGGTGGAGGCCCATTGGGGAGGGAGTGGGGATGTCGGGGACCACACAACCCCCCTGCCATGCTGGCCTGGGGGGCCCCAGATCTCTGCAATGGCCATGGGGCTGTTCCCGCAGAGGAAAGGAGAGGATGCTACAGGGCAATCGGGGGAGGGGAGTGAGCCCAAGAGATGGTCCAGCCCCACCCTCAGCAGCTGGTTCATGCCATGCCAGCATCCAGGTGAGGGGGCCTGGCATGCTGTGGGAGGGGGATTGAAGCTGTGTCTAGTAACCTGGCTCTCCTGGGTGCCAGGCAGGGTGCCCTGAGACTGCCCCAGAACAAGGCAAGACCCCCTATGCTAGCCAGGAGGGGCCTGCACCCTGAGAGTACCAGCTAAGGCTGGGCTGAGAACTGTTAAACTCAATCCATGCAGGAGCCCAGTCCCAGCCCCACCCAGATCAGGGTGTCGGTATGGACAGGCCCTTGCCTGGCCTGTAGCTGAGGGGCCCTCGGGCTGGGTCAGAGCCCCACAGAGCAGCAGCCAGCTGGGACAGGTACCTGATGACGGGCAGGGGATCTGTGAGGCAGTCCTGGAGCTGCGGCCCAATGCACCTGCAAGAGACAGAACTTGCTGATCATCCCATGGACGGACGGGAGCTGCAGACAGCATCAGGGTCAGGGGAAGGAGGGCAGAGAGGAGAGGGGCTGGGAGCCAGGAGTCCTGGGTTCTCTCCCTGGCCCTGAGAACCACACAGAGATGGTTCTTGGGAAACCCCTCCAGCACAGATGCTCCATGTGCTACCTTCCCGCGCCCGCCCCCCCGGGGCAGTGCCTCCCCAGATGCCCCTTTCACAGCCCCCCCAACAGTCTCAGGAGCCAGGGGAGGAGCTGCAGCCGAGCCCCAAGCCCACTGCCTGGTGGGGAAGGGGGGTGTCCTTTGCCCCTCTCCCCACATCCCTCCCTCCATGTCCAGCCCTGCAGAATCCCCACAGCTCAGCCGTGGTCGGAGGGGCTGGGCTGCGGGAGCGGGGCCCCCCCACCCCTGCCGGGGCCCGCTCCTCTCACCCCCGTGTGCAGTTCTCATGGCAGGGGCGGCACTC